TTGTGGTTGTGGTTTTGCTTCGTTTTTGCTGTTTGAAGCGGGATCTTGCTCTGTTGCCCAGGCTGGAGTGCAGTGGCACAAGCACAGTTCACTGCAGCCTTGACCTCCCAGGCTCAAGCAATCCTCCTAGGTCAGGCTCCAGAGTAGCTGGGATTAAGGCATGCACCACCATGCCTGGCTAATTTTTTTTGAAAAGATGGGGGTCTGTGTTGCCCAAGCTACTCTTGAACTCCTGATCTCAAGCAATCCTCCTGCTTCAGCTTCCCAAAGTGTTGATATTAGGTGTAAGCCACTGCCCCTGACAGCTTTTTTTTTTCTTTTGTCTCTATTACTGGTTCCCCCACCCTTTTTTTGTAGTAACATATTTTTGATACTCTTTTCCTTTTGTCTATACTCTAGATTTTTTTTTTTGCAGTTATGAGAATTACATCTTAATATCATAATAATCTAATTTGAATTCTAGTCCAATTAACTACTCTAGTGAATATTTCAATTCAGGTATTGTATATTTCCGCTCTGGAATTCGTTTTGTTCCTTTTCTCTTTGTTGAGATTCTCATTTTGTTCACATATCATTTTCCTGACTTCCTTTGGTTCTCTGTTTTCCTTTAGCTTGTTGAGCTAATCAGCAGGCGTGTTCTGAGCCTTGGGAGCAGCCTGGGTGACAGCTTAAAGTCCTGCAGCTTTTCCCAGACATGCTAACCTTTCCCCATGTGAGCGCTGTATTAAGTGAAACGGACACTTTCAGGAAGTCCCCAGATGAGTTAGAATGCTGGAAATAAGTACTGCTCTATTCCCTCCGGTTAAGGGAGGGAACTGAACACTACTGAAAAGTGCTGGTTTTCACTGAGATGAGAAGTTTATACTATATATAAATAGCACTGCTTTCTTCATTTAGAAAGACTTGCTACAAAAAAAAGTCAACTGAATTAAATGAATTGTGTTCTTACGGATAGAGTTCATTTTCATTTTGATGTAAATGCCTTATCTCATTGTGGACAAGCAAGAAACCCCACTGCTCATCTATAAACCACACTGACTAGCGCTGTTTCAGAGCACTTTTAATATTACCTTACTTGAACTTTTCATGGACTATTTTCCCCATAGTTGCAGAAATAAGAAAGGAACATGGGAAACATAGCACTGATTATTTTTAGTAAGGACTACTTTTTTTCTATCTCATAAGTCAAAAGGTGTTTCATGTAACAGAACCTCACTTTTTTGCCTTTTAAAAGCAAAGTAAAAATAGAACATAGCTAAATTCAGCTGTTAGGTAAGTTATTTCATCTTCTCAGACTTAATGATTTATTATACATGTATCAAAAGATGAGAATAGTATTTGTTATAAGTTAACCATTATGTAGTTATTTTATATGACATGATTCATGATATAGCCAAACCTAGGTAAAACCTACACTGGAATGGAGTTCAACTATACTTATTACTTTAAAGTAGATATTATGATAATTCTCTTTGTGGACTTAACGTGAATATCTTTTCTAACTTGAAACACAATCCTTCTCCCTAAAAAGCACTGAAATGTAAAAGTGTACATCAATCTATATGTAAAATATTCAATTCTTAATTTGAAGTGCTTAGCCCAAAACAATTTCTTTTAGAAATAAGCCTATTATGAATTGAAAAGACCAACTTACAAAATTTGAGAAATTTTCTTTTTCAGATTTGAGAGCTTATTTCATCTGTGATTTGTCTTGCTTTGTATAATCAACAGTTAGGTGCCACCTCCTGTTTCAGTCAATGTCAGACTGGTGGTGGTCCTGTCAGATTAAAATACTCTATACTGTTAATCTTTTTCTATGTTGAGATACGTACATACATCGTTAGCTTTGTGTTATAATTGGTTACAGTAGTCACTACCATCACATGCTGTATAGGTTTGTGGTCTGGGAGCAATAGGCTGTATCATATAGCCTAGGTACGTAGCAGGCTATGCTATCTAAGTTTGTGTAAGTACACTCTATGATGTTCCCACAACAACAAAATCTTCTCATGATGATGCATTTTCCTGTCACTAAGCAACATATCACTAATTTCAACAGAATAGTGCTACAACAGAAGTTCAACAAGACCTCAAAAAGCACAAGATGGAGGACTTCCACTCCTTTTGGCTGCTCTTTTTAATTAACATCTGCTTGTATATAAGTTATTTACAGTAAGGCATTCTTGTCAGTCTTCCTGAATTGAAATTTATAGTTAACTTAAGGCTACATTTACACAGAAAGTAAACTTTAAAGTCCTCAAATTGAAGAAAGGAAGCCAAAGAACTTTACTGGTCTACTACGGTTAATTTTGTAAAACTTCATTAAAGAAGCTGAATAATATTAAGGGCATTAGGAGTACAGGACTATGAAATCTATTTTATTCTGATAAATCTGGTAATTTGTGGGTACTCTGTTAACTCATTCCTTTTTCTCTAAGTTATCCAATATTGTTCCCACTAAAACATTAACTTTTACTATAGTAAAAATAAGCACTGACAAGAGAAGAGATTGGTCCTTGTGTTGCTATCTGGATTAAGATGTAATTTTTTCAATTATGCTTTCTCCTAGCAATATTTCATAATTCTGTCTTCCTTATCAAGTGATTTATAATTACTTAATCATGATTTGGTGTATACATGTTTGGGTATTACACTGTTTTTCTTTTCCTTTTTGAGACAGGGTCTTGCTCTGTTGCCCAGGTTCAAGTACAGTGGCGCAAGCACAGCTCATTGCAGCCTTGACCTCTAAGGCACCAGGGATCCTCCCACCTCAGCCTGCTGAGCAGCTGGGACCACAGGCATATGCCACTACTCCTGGCTTTTTGATTTTTAGTAGAGACAGGGTCTTGCTATGTTGCCCAGGCAGGTCTCAAATTCCTGGGTTCAAGAGATCCTCTCACTTCCCAAAGTGCTGGGATTATAGGCATGCACCGCTGTGCCCAGCTTGTAACTTTAACAGGAATCCAGTCATTCAATAGTTTGGTCCATTGGGCTCTGCATATAAGCTGTTCATTTTTCAGTTATATGTACTTAGGTGGTATGGAATTTACATGTAGCAGTCAACACATGGCTATGTAAAGGTATTTAGATTCTTTTAAGCTGCAGCAGTAAGATTTCATTTATATACACACACATACATATATTAGTTTATAAATTACATATATGTGTTGGTTTACCATTTGTAACTTCTCCACACTCTCACCCTGTAATAACCATTTTATTTTTTTTTTTTTTTGAGACAGAGTCTCGGTCTGTCACCCAGGCTGGAGTGCAGGGGCACAATCTCTGCTCACTGTAACCTCAGCTCCTGGATTCAAGCGATTCTCCTGTCTCAGCCTCCCGAGTAGCTGGGATTATGGGAACCCACCACCATGCCCAGCTAATTTTTGTATTTTTAGTAGAGACTTCATAAAACGTTACCTAAAAAGTTTTTAAAAAATCATCAATGGTCACAAAATCTGAGTAGATGAAAGTGCTGAACTTAATTCTCAGTATTTCCAAAATACTTGTGTTGGAACAAAGGCTAGTCAGAAGGAACTTCCGAGTTCACTTTAAAAATGGGTAAAAATACCTACTTTCCCAGCGAATCAACCAAATTCTCCCTTTAGTATTTAAATACTGCCTAAAAGATCAAGAACCCATGTGTGAACTAGGATTCACCATAAGTAATGTAAATAGTCTAAAGCATTAATTAACATAGTTCATTAAGCTCACAGCTTTGTATTGCCACACCATATTTTTAAATAGGAGAAAGTCTCAAGTACCATTATTCTAATAACTACCTTTTTCCTTTGTTGAGACGGAGTCTCACTTTGTCACTCAAGCTGGAGTGCAATGGCACGATCTTGGCTCACTGCAACCTCTGCCTCCAGGGATCAAGCGATTCTTCTGCCTCAGCCTCCCAAGTAGCTGGGACTACAGGTGTGTACCACCACACCCGGCTACTATTTGTATTTTTAGTAGAGATGGAGTTTCACCATGTTGGCCAGGCTGGTCTCAAACTCCTGGCCTCAGGTGATTCACCCGTCTCAGCCTCCCAAAGTGCTGGGACTGCAGGCGTGAGACACTGCGCCTGGCTTATAATAACTTTGTAACCATAGTAAAGTATTTTAGAGCTCTCTTTGAAGGAAATAAATTTTGATTGATTAAATATCTGAAACTTCAGAAAGCCTAAGTTTTTCTTCCTGAACCATGTGACATTAGTGTGAGTGGAAACCAAGAGTATAAACCTAAGCCCTATATACTAAAGAAATAGCATAAGTTAACTTGTTACTGCCATGTCATACATTCAGATTTAAATACGAAAACACCACACAGAAAACAAACTTTTTTTAAAAAAAGATTTAAGATCATAAATAGGTCATTGTTGTCACAGCACATTTCAGAATTTTAAAAAGACAAACATTTGGCTTTCTAAGAAAAAGACTAAAAAAAAAAAAAAAATCAATTCCTCATCACTGAAAGGACTTCTACATTTAAAACTTCCAGTCTCCTAAGGCACAGTATTTAATCAGAATGCCAATATTACCACCCTGCTGTAGCAGGAATAAGAGGCAAGGTATTAGCACTAAGAAAAACAGCAAAATTTCTGGACAAAATCATCTGTCATTTTAAAAAAGGGAGGAAAAAAACAGACTAAAAGTGGTGAGCATTTTAGTGAAGAAGGCCCAGTGCTGTTATGCAGGACTTTCTATTTAAAAAAAAAAAAAAAAAAGAAATCGAAGTATTTTTAACTCAAGCACATTTAATTCACCACGGAAGAACTATGAGAAAAGAGAAGGAGTTGGAAAAAATACAGTATACTTTCTTTAAAAAGGACTTGGGAGGAAAAAAATCAACTTAGAAGATCTTATGAAAGGGCAAACATCACATGGAACCCAGTTAGTGTCCTAGTTTATTACTAGTCTTCAGGCAAATCCAGAAAAGAGAATAAGATACTAGGTAAACACAACACCTAGACACATCTGTAAGGCATTTGTTTCCTATCATCACATGGCCCATTAAAGCTTAACACCCACCAACTGAGATGTAGTGAAATGCTAAAATTGGATGCTCAAATTATACTTTTATCCAACCAAAAAGTCCTTTAAATATAAAATTAGAAATTCCTCACTTTAACTCTGCCTTGTCTTCTGTGATACCAACTGTACTTTAAGGTTTTACATTTGCAATGTGGTAATTTAGGTTAATTTTAAAAGAAAAATCCACAAAGTGTCCACAGATGAAACATGGGATGAGGTTCCTGACTGAATCAATCATGGAGTGTTAGTCAATTGTAAACTCTTGAAAGTTAAGACGAGGAAATGTGTGTATCAGACACAGAGTACAATAGGAGAGGAAGGGAAGCCTGTTTGTCATTCCAATTCCGACAAGGTGCAAGGTCTTCGAAATTCTTGTCCACGTTCATGGAGCCATTTATTGGATACTGTGAGAGAAAAGTTATATATAAATTTTCCCCATTTAATTAGTATTTAGTTTCTAACAGCTAGGTCTATAACAAAGTTTCAACATGGGATAAAAGTTCAACACCAAAACCAGATAAAGGCAGATGCTACTTAAAAACGTGGCTAAATGCTGAAAACACAAGATTTTATATATCTATATACATATGTGTACACATTTATGTGTGTTTATGTACGTACATGTATACATGTGTGTATATTTCCAAGTCTATGTGCATTTCTTAAAGTTTCCAATGATCAATGTGAGGCTTGAAATGAGACACAAATGGACTTAAGATACAGGTACAGACAGAGCAGAATATTGCTTTATGTACTGTTTTCAAAGTACAGCCTCCAAAATACAGAGACATTTTAATAATGAACACAAACTTTCTACTCTAAAGGAAAAACTTTCGGATTAACCATTGCTATTATATGCTCATTAAGTTTCCAAAATACCTTTAAAAAATGTGTATCATATAAAAATGTATCCCAAAAGGCATTAACTTTCTATTTTTTGTGTGTGTCTCCATTACCATAGAACCCATTCAAAATATCAAAGTAGAACTTCCTTAATTCTTAACTCCTTTTTCCTCTTACAACCCTGTATCTACTCTTTATTCATCAAACCCCGACAATTTTCCTTGTATCTCTCTCGAATTTATTTGCTCTCCAACCCTTTCACTGATGCTTTCATCCATGTTGTTATCTCCCCTTTAGCAAGGAAAACAGCTTTCTAAACTCTCTCTCACCAACTAGCCTCTCCTCATTCTAGTCCAGTGGTTCTTAAATACTATAATAATGAGGGGAGATTTTTAAATCCTGATCAGGCCTCACTCCTTAACCTTGCTATGTCCTGTATGTAACCACTAAACATGTGGCTAGTAACACAGATTAAAATGGACACATGGGGCTAATTAACATATATTAAAACTAAATTCACCTGTTTTCTACTTTTTTAAAAGGTGGCCAGTCCTGCAGTCGCATGTCCCCAAGAGTGAATGCCTCTTTAAATTCTTCACACTAGGTGCTACTCAAGCCTCACATTAGGACCTGGTATCTAACATGTTTCGAAAACTGCTGTTTTAACTTCAGAACCAAATTAAAAATATAAACTTTGAAGAAGACTCCCCAAACTTAGGCAGTCATCATCTTCTGTTTATACTTCTGTATTAATATGTACTACACTATAATCCATTAGTATGTCTAATCAGATTATTAACCATTTGAGGGGAAAATACTGTCTTATTCAATTTTGAGTCAGTGTTTCTTGGAATAAGTGGAAATAAGAGTTAAAAACAAAATTTGTCATAAAAATTCTGATTATAAATTAAGATTAGGCAGTTATTTGGTTGTATTCTGTACAGTGTTAAAACCATATTAAGCAAATATGTGGGGGCTTTTGTTTATAAGACACAGATTATAATGGGTTTTAAAATACGAAACAAAAATCACATTCTCTTCACAGAAAATATGAAATATTTACCCCATTTGTTGCCAACTAGCACTGGACAGGCTGCATGCCGTGTACTATAATCTCCTTCTCCACTGGCAAATAGATTATACCAGAAAACAGCAGTTCCCTATGGAGAACAATTCAAAATTATCCCCAAGTATACAATGCCAGGTTCTCTCTTTCAGTAGTTGTTTGTTTGAGACAGAGTCTTGCTCTATGGCCCAGGCTGGAGGTGCAATGATGCGATCTCAGCTCACTAGAACCTCCATCTCCCAGAGTCAAGTGATTCTCCTGCCTCAGCTTCCCGAGTAGCTGGGATTACAGGTGCCCGCTACCACACCAGGCTAATTTTTGTATTTTTAGTAGAGACAGGGTTTCACCGTGTTGACCAGGCTGATCTCGAACTACTGACCTCAGGTGATCTGCCTGTCTCGGCCTCCCAAAGTGCTGGGATTACAGGCATGAGCCACCGTGCCTAGCCGCTTTCAGTAGTTCTTAATTTTCCTCTGTTCCTGCAGAAGAACAATTCTATAGCAGCATTTTATCTTCCAATATAATTCTGAAAATATGATTCTACCATTTTAAAAACCTTTTTGATCATATAAAAAATACCATAAAAATGCTTGACAACAAAAGTATTTGCAAAAACAAAGCTAACAAATTCGCTCTTGTTACCCAGGCTAGAGTGCAATGGCGCGATCTCGGCTCACCGCAACCTCCGCCTCCTGGGTTCAGGCAATTCTCCTGCCTCAGCTTCCTGAGTAGCTGGGATTACAGGCACGCGCCACCATGTCCAGCTGATTTTTTGTATTTTTAGTAGAGACGGGGTTTCACCGTGTTGACCAGGATGGTCTCGATCTCTTGACCTCGTGATCCACCCGCCTCGGCCTCCCAAAGTGCTGGGATTACAGGCTTGAGCCATTGCGCCCGGCAAAGCTAATAAATCTTACATAGCAAGACAGAGGAGAAAACACCATATAGAACCCATTTTAAAAATGAAAAATTTTAAATACTAATTCCTGGTCATTCATTACCTCTAAGTACTCGTGGCAAGGACCATAAAAGTACCAGAACTTTTACCTAGCAATAATGTTGTACTTAAGTACACTACCTTTAAAAATGTAATTTGGGCACAGGGGCTCATGCCTGTAATCCCAACATTTTGGGAGGCTGAAGTGGGAGGATCACTTGAGCCCATGCGTTCAAGATCAGCTTGGGCAATAGAGAGAGACACTGTTTTAAAAATTTAAACATTAGCTGGGCATGGTGATGTGCACCTGTAGTCTCAGCTATCTGGGAGGCTGAGGCTTGAACCCAGGAGGTCAAAGCTGCAGTGAGCCATGTTTGCACTGCTGCACTCCAGCCTGGGCAACAGTGAGAACATGATGTCTCAAAAAAAGAAAAGAAAAAGAAAAAACTGTAATTCATTAATTAGACCATGAATAAAAATGCATTCTTTCCTGAGGGAAAAAATTAATAAACCAAAAACAAACCGAACAAGCTTACTTTTTTGGGCCACACACTAGCTCCAACTTCAGGAAAAACAGTGGCTCCTCCTGCAGACACATCACTCATCTATAAAAAAAACAAGAGGGTATTATCAAACGTGCTGGTAAAATAAAGTAAAACTGCCATAATAAAGACTTGATATTGGATACTAGAATATTGGGAACAAAAGGATTTGTTCCCAAGGTTCTGTACATGTTACTCAGTTTTTCAAAAGTAAAACAAAATGCCATTTAGGTTTATATACATAAGTAGAAAAAACTACAAAAAGCAAAGGAATGATTAACAAAAAACTGTCAGGAAGGGAGAATGGGGATATAATTTGGGATAGGCACTTATTAATAGCCAGAGGGAAAAGAAATGACTAAAACTAATAAATCAATACAGAGATATAAATATGTATTTTATGTACTAGAATGTAATCTCCATGGAGGCAGGGATTTTCATGTTTTGTTCACTGCTGATCATTAATGTCTAGAACAGTACCCTCAAGAACAGTAGGTGCTCAAGAAATAAATGTAAAATAAAAATAATGAGAATAATAAAATCAGTTTTGCCATTTCTCATGGTAGGGAATCAAACATATTAAATAAAAATGAGAAAATTAAATGATTATATAAAGTTATAGTCATAAAAGATAACTTAGAATAAACATGGAAACCTTTTATTTCATTTTGTTTTTGAGACAGAGTGTCACTCTTGTTGCCTAGGTTGGAGTGCAATGGTGCAATCTTGGCTCACCACAACCTCGGCCTTCCAGGTTCAAGCGATTCTCCTACCTCAGCCTCCCAAATAGTTGGGATTACAGGCATGCACCACGAAGCCTGGCTAATTTTGTATTTTTAGTAAAGACGGGTTTTCTCCATGTTGGTCAGCCTAGTCTTGAACTCCTGACCTCAGGTGATCTGCCCACCTCAGCCTCCCAAAGTGCTAGGATTACAGGTGTAAGCCACCAAGCCTGGCCAACAGGAAAACCTTTTAAATTAAGGTTTTAAGATCACATAAAACAAGGCAAAGGACATAAGGATCATACAGTAAAGATTTTTTTAAAGCAACATAAGTAGAATGTACAGACTGATTATATCACAGGGCACAATCCAACTATTTGTTATAAGTGACTTACACAGAAAACAAAACAGTAATATTTGGGGCAAGTGCTTTCCAAGGAAAACAGGGTATGATCTTAATATGAGACACAGTTTAAATCAAGGTAAAAAGCATTAAATGAGATGAAAGGTATTTTACAATGATAAATATATAATTAGTAATAAACAGATAAGAACATTTAACCAATGAAAAAAATTAACTGAGGAAATTAAGAGTTTGTGCATGACAGGAAAAGTAATTTTAGATATTTTATGTGCCCCATTTGGCAATAGTATTTAAATAATGGAAAAAATAATTAAAATGCTATATAACTATTTCAAGAAGGGTGTGTACATTAAGAGGGAGAAATGAATAATCTAACAATCTAATAGTCAATCTAACATACATGAATAGTGGGCCAAATAATACAGCATTAATATCCACAAAACAAACAAATATAAGGAGAACGAAGAACATGTAAACCCTAACGGCTTTTAAACATCTGAAAAGATGCTCAACCTCTCTAATAAGAGAAATGCAACTGAAAGCCACAATAACTGCTAATTTGATAAGTGAAAGATACACAAATCAAAAAGTCTGACAAACATACTTCACAAATATATCCCACTAAAAATTGGGATATAAATTGGTACAGACTCTGAGACTCACTTCTAGAAAATATGCAAGCCTTTGCAGCATGAATTTCTATACTGTACTAACCTTCTCCTGGTTTTCCCTTTGTGATATTTCTCTTTTTTATATGAATCTTCGTAATGTATCTTACATCCTTTTGGAAACAAGATGGAGTTGTGAGAGGGATACAAATTGGGAAGGAGGGAGAAAGGGAGGCAGGGAAGAAGGGAAAGAAGAAAAAAGAAACGGGGAAGGTAGCAGGGAGAGAAGAAAATAGATTGACCAGAGAGATTTGGTAGGGAGTGAGATACTGCAGACAGCAAAAAAGATTTAATTCAAATAGGGGCAAAGGATAGAAAAAGCAATGAAATAACCAAAATTAAGTCTAGATATAGATATAAAATATCTTTTTGTTGTTATTGTTACCCAGGCTGGAGAGTGCAATGGTGTGATCTCGGCTCACTGCAACCTCTGCCTCCAATCCTTGTTCAAGCAATTCTCGTGCCCCAGCCTCCCAAGTAGCTGGGACTAGAGGCCCGCGCCATCACATCCGGCTAATTTTTGTATTTTTAATATAGACAGGGTTTCACCACATTGGTCAGGCTGGTCTGGAACTCCTGACCTCAAGTGATCTGCCTGCCTCGGCCTCCCAAAGTGCTGGGATTACAGGCGTGAGCCACTGCGCCTGGCCTAAAATGTCTTTTTTAAGTTAACAAAGTTTATGACATTACGGCAGATGCATTTTCCAAATATAATACATCCCAATATGGCCAGGTGCAGTGGCACACGCCTGTAATCCGAGTACTTTGGGAGGCCGAGGCAGGTAGATCACGAAGTCAGGAGTTCAAGACCAGCTTGGCCAACATGTTGAAACCCCGTCTCTATTTAAATGAATGAATGAATGAATGAAAAAGAATACATCCCAATATGTCCCATCCTACATGTGCTTATATGACACTGACATCTGTCTGCAGTGGCAGGGTCTATGTGCCCTCTCTCTGAAGTGGGGCAGATCTTTGTCACTGCTGTAATAGAATACAGCAGAAATGACATCTGTGACTTCTGAGGGTATGTCACAACAATATCATGTGCTTTTACATTGTTCTTTTGGGATGCTTGCTCTTACAATCCAGTCACTATGCTGTGAGGAAGCTCAGCCACATGTATTGGCCAGAATTTAGGCATTCTGGCTGACAGCCAGCCTCAATCTTAGCCTTCAAGATACCCCAGTGCCAGGCAGTTGATGGCAAATGCATGTCAGATTTGAAGCAGGCACCATGAGTTGGGTCCAGTCAACCTCACAACTGTTAAGAGATTCATTAAAAAAATGACTGTTGTTATTTTAAACCATACAGAAAAGAGTTTTGGAGTGATTTATTTGGGGTAACTAGAACAAACACTATAATCAAAACTTTTTTCCATATATATAAACATAAACAATTTTGAAAATTGAATTATGATCATACTGTTTTTAAAACTTAAAGGGGGTAGGGCTTCTGGGGGCTGTAATGTGCTATTTCTTGATCTTAGTACTGAATACACCAGAAGTGTTCACTTTGTGAAAATCAAAACACTTAATTTGTGCACTCTTCTGATATACTTCAATAAAAAAAGTAATTAAGTTTACTGAAATGTATATGTGTATGTACAGAAATTCATAGAGATTCTTATATACACATATATGACTAAACAGCCTACATGCCAAAATATTGATTGTCTGAAAGTAGTGGCACTATCAATTCTAAGTCTGTCCAAGTTTCTATAATAAATATCGAGCTTACAGCCTGAAAAAGCTGCAAATGCAAACAAATTCTTAACTCCCTTTACTTAGTGTTTGTTCTAGTTACCCCAAATAAATCACTCCAAAACTCTTTTCTGAATGGTTTAAAATAACAACAGTCATTTTTTTAATGAATCTCTTAACAGTTGTGAGGTTGACTGGACCCAACTCATGGTGCCTGCTTCAAATCTGACATGCATTTGCCATCAACTGCCTGGCACTGGGGTTGTAAAAATGGTAAATAGGATGCTAAATTAGAGCTACACAGAACAAACACCACATTAAAATGAGTCATGTGATCAAATCCCAACTTAACCTAAAAATTTTAGCCACAACTTACATAAAACAGCCATGTAGCAATTCTATTTCCTGTCCCCAGCTCTTTGAAAGCATCTGGCTCATCTTTCTGTGAATAAAAACAGAGCAAATTCAATGGTGTAAAAATTCAGTAATACAAATACTCTAGTGGCAACTAAACATCAGTAGTAATATCCTGAATAATATGCCAAAAACAACCCCAAAAGTTTCCCTTGTAATGTCCAGGGCACTATAAATATCAGGCACTCTTTTTGTAGAGATGGAGTCTTGCTATGTGGACCAGGGTGGTCTTGAACTCCTGGCTTCAAACAATATTCCTGCCTTTGCCTCCCAGTGTGCTAGGATCACAGGCATGAGCCATTGTACCACCTCGCCTCAAATACTTGCTGACTGAACTTGTATACTGGATACTTTAGACAAGATTACTGAATAAAAATCAGACTTACTAGCCTAAACAACAGCCATTATCTGCTAACTACAGATTTTAAAAAAATTAATACCTACAATTTTAGCTTCCAAAAAAAAAAAAGATATGAGAGCAACCTCTCAGCTACATTCCTGAAGCTTATTCCCTGTGGTTAAAAAATTTACCTTGAGACTTACTTTGAACTCATGACCTACTCAAGTGTTTCCTAGTATTTTTCTTTTCTTTTCTTTTCTTTTTTTGAGACAGAGTCTTGCTCTTTCGCCCAGGATGGAGTGCCGTAGCATGATCTCGACTTACTGCAACCTCCGCCTCTGGGGTTCAAGCAATTCTCCTGCCTCAGTCTCCCAAGTAACTGGTACTATCGGTGTGCACCACCATGTCTGGCTTATTTTGTATTTTTAGTAGAGACAAAGTTTCACCATGTTGGCCAGGCTGGTCTTGAACTCCTGACCTCAAGTAATCTGCCCACCTCAGCCTCCCAAAGTGCTGGGATTACAGGCATGAGCCACCATGCCTGGACCCTAGTATTATTTTTCTAATAATGCCAGTAAAGTGACTTTCAGCACTTCCATCAAGCTAGAGAGTTAATATCTAGATATTTATATCTAAATTAAAATACAATACAAGCTCTTGGCATTTCTCCCAGAAAAATGAAAATGTGCTTTTCACACAGAAATGTATACACATCTTTATTTGTAATAGCCAAAAACTAAAAACTATCTAAATGTCCTCGATGGGTGAATGGCTAAACTGTGATATATCCATAACATGGAATACAGGTTGAGCATACCAAAAATAGAAAATCCAAAATGCTCCAAAGTTCAAAACTTTTTTAGTGCTAACATAACACAAATGGAAAATTCCACACATAGTGCTCCCTAAAGTAGCTCCCCATACACACTATGCCCTACCCAGGACGGAAACAGACAGTTGTAAGGCTCCTGCATCACAAGAGATTTCTTTCTTCTTTTTTTTTTTTTTTTTTTTTTTTTTTGAGACAGGGTTTCACCATGATGGTCAGACTGGTCTCGAACTCCTGACCTCAGGTAATTCACCCGCCTTGGCCTCCCAAAGTGTGGGATTATAGGCGTGAGCTACCACACCCGGTCAAGAGATTTATTTTCAAACCCATTCTTTCTTCATTGAAGGTATAATCCTTGTGGAGATTTAAATTTTATTCCAGGGTCTCAAATTCAGCAGCCTACACTGTGGCACATACTCCTACAGAGCTGTTAATTCCCAAAGCTGTAGTTCCTGGAGGCATGTGCCTCCAGCCTCCGTGTTTTGTCCCCTCTTTAATTCTCTAGGTTTGGGATCATCTTTGTTCAGTTTGCCTGTTGGAATACCCTTTACTCTCTTCCAGGCTCGCCAATGCATTTAAAAGTATCTTAAGTAATTGTATTGGGTATCTTGGTGGGTGTTTTTTTTTTCTTTTTTACTTCACAGAATATCTGCCACACCATATTTCCACAAATTCCAAATAGGCTATGAAGTTTTAATGTTAAAAACAGAATTAACATGTTGACAAAGAACCTCTCCTTTATCCTCAACTAGACCCTGAGTTTGGGCTTCTGGTATTTATCTCTGCACTGTCCAATTTGAGCAAGAACCCTGCTAAGTCAGGTTAGCCAGAATCCCCCATCTTTGCCATGTGATCATCCTCAAAATCTAACTGGGTTCATCTTCCACTATCCCGTGGGTGATGATCACCCTGCCCTGACTTCAGCAAGAAACCTGTTAGGTCAGTTTAGCTAGAATCCTTCCTTTACCTCTTAGTAATCTTCCATCTACTAACACCCACCCTTGCTCACTGGCTATAAATTTCCACTTTTCCTTGTTGTATTTAGAATTGGGCTTAATCTCCTCCCTTAGTGCAAAATCCCACTGCAGCTGCAGTGGTCTCTATACCTATTGCAATAGTACCCCCTTGAATGAAGTCTGCCTTACCATCTTTAACAAGTGTCAAGAATAAATGTTTCTTTAACAATGTAATGCATAAGCCTCAGTGAATTTCTTTTCTTTCTTTCTTTCTTTTTTAACTTACCCGTGCAAAGTCAAAATGGGGTTCATACTGTCCTCCAACTCCATAATTTGCTACCTGGAGGAAAGACATAGAGCATGAAAGAACTATGAAGATTACTATTCCAAAAAATCGACAAGATCATGGTCAGGTATTTACAGAGAAATAAAAAGTATTTAAAATCAATGAGGCTGGGCGCAGTGGCTCATGCCTGTAATCCCAGCACTTTGGGAGGCCAAGGAGGGCGGATCACAAGGTCAGGAGTTCAAGACCAGCCTGGCCAACATGGAGAAACCCTGTCTCTACAGAAAGTACAAAAATTAGCCAGGCATGGTGGCAGGCGCCTATAGTCAGATACTTGGGAGGCTGAGGCAAAAGAATTGCTTGAACCTGGGAGGTGGAGATTGCAGTGAGCCGAGATCACGCCATTGCACTCCAGCCTGGGCAACAAGAACAAAACTCCGTCTCAATAAAAAACAGAACAAAAATCAATGAGAGTTCCTATGAAAACAGGGATGAAAAACTAAGGATAGCTACTATATTATAACATATATTATATATTTTCCCCAATCCCCCACTCTCCCACCAGACAGAGGGTCTCAGACTGTCACCCAAGGCTGGAGTGCAGTGATGTAATCATAGCTCACTGCAGCCTCAACCTTTGGGGCACAAGCAATCCTCCCACTTCAGTCTCCTGAGTAGCTGGGACTACAGGTGCAGGCTACCACAACCAGCTAATTTTTAAAAATTTAATACATAAGCTAAAATTTGAGATTCCTATTACTTTGTTTCACTAAACACTTTCCTTTGGAACTTAAATCAAAAAATATTTTCCAAAGCCCCAAATGCTGGCAAACTCCCAATCTACTTTAATAAAATCCCTTTTCTTTCATATTTTTTCCCTGCTAAAAAAGGGAAGAAGTTAATACCAATTGAATTACTCCTGTCAAAGAGCCCTAACAGCTTCAGTTGGTTATGACAATGTCCCAGTGTGACAAGCAAAATGTAAGAAAAATATTTGGTCTGTGTTCAAGTTCCAGCTCTCTTAATTACAATGTAGGTAACTTTGGATATAATCTGTTTTCTTATTTGTTAAAATGAGGAGAAGGATACTTAACTCTTTCCCCCAATCACACAACACAATAAAATGCTGACAAAAATCAAAGGAGAACATAATTAAGAGTGTTATTGATGAAACCAGAAGGAGAATATTGGTAGAACTGGAACTACTACTAGAGTGTGTCTTGCTCTGGGGGCCAGTAGCCACAGCACCCCTTCACCCCTGAAGCTAAGGCAGAAATGGAGGCCTACCTGGAGGCCTGACATTCCCAAGCAGAGCTGCCAGCAGTTGTTACACCCTTCCCGGTGGTGCGAAGAGAAGTAGAACTGCTCTACCTACCCTTCCCCCAACTCCATGAGGCAGGAGCTGCAGCTGTGCGCTCCCCTTCCAAGAAAACAATATTTTGGCAGAACCTTGCATCCCAGGGTTCTGGGCCACTCAGAACAGTCACATCCCCTGGGCCTGAGCTGAAGCAGCACATTACCCTTAGGGAATTGGTGCACTGGCCAAGCTGAGCAGCTGCACATCCCAGGGCTGAAGTAGTACCCAGAGACCCAGGGAAACAGAGCAATGGCTAAGCTGAGAAATGTGCCCTTCAGGACAAATAACTCTAATACCCTGCTTCCCTGGAGAGTCTGTACGGCTGAGACACTTTCTGGGGAGTGAAGTCATTGCTGTGCTGCTCTCTGCCCCACAGGGCCGAAACAACAAGCATGCTTGGTCATTCTGGGGTACTTGTTTCCACTGGACCTGGCCTGGCCTCACAGAGTCTGGGATCCGTCTGAGCCCCACCAATCCAGGTTCTAGAGTGACCACTACATGGTGCCTCATCCTCAGGGACTAGAGTTGCCACTAAGCCCTACTGGCTCAGGCCCCTAAATTATAGTCATACCCTGCATTCCAGACTCAAACCTCCAGAGCACCCTCTCTTCCCTGGAGTTGGGCTAGGGCTGTGTCCTGTCCTCCAGGGATAGAATCACAGCTAAAACCCGACCCTCTTTTCCCAAACAGCAAGAGGGTGCCTCAGTCACAGATCCTGGAGCTATGGGCAACCTACATCCAACCCTGCCACAGAGAGTGAACCTGTACCTCAAGACCCAGATGTTACAATAAGTATGCGAGACCTTGAGGCCAGGATCCTGGCCCCATAGCCACTCCAAACGCATGCACCTGGATTGCAGCACCATGGCAGCACATGTCAGACCTGCCACCAAGAAGAGCAGCTGCACATCCCAGGGCTGAAATAGTACCCAAAGACCCTGCAGGATGAAATCTCGCTCTGTTACCAGGCTGGAGTGCAGTGGTGCAATCTTGGCTCACTGCAACCTCTGCCTCCCAGCTTTAAGGGATTCTCCTGCCTCAGCCTCCCGAGTGGCTGGGACTACATGTGTGCGCCACCATGCCTGGCTATTTTTGTTTTGTTTTGTTTTTGTATTTTCAGTAGACACGGGGTTTCACCATGTTGGCCAGGATGGTCTCAATCTCTTGACCTCATGATCCACCCACCTTGCCCTCCTAAAGTGCTGGGATTATAGGTGTAAACCACTGTGCACAGCCACGAATCAGAATTTCAACAAAGAAAGATATAAAAAAAGAACCAAACAAAAATCTTGCAGCTGAAGAAGTCAATGAATGAAATTAAAAATACAATACAAAGCTGCACCAGCACACTTGATTAAGCAAAACAATCTGTGAACCTGAAGATATACTGCTTGATATTACTCAGAGGAGAAAAAAAAAAAAGGAAACAAGAATGAAAAAGGATAAAGACAGCCTACAAGACTTACAGGGCACTATTAAACATTTCTATTACAGGAGTTCCAAAAGGAGAAGAGAGAGTAAAAGGCATAGAAAACTTATTTAATAATAGCTGAAAACTTCCCAAGTCTGGGGAGAGATAAGGGTATCCAACTCCAGGAAGTTCCAAAGTCCCCAAATATATTTAACCGAAAAAGGTCTTCTCTGAAGCATATTTTAATCAAATTTTCAAACATCAAAGACAAAGAATTCTAAGAACAGCAAGATAACTAGATTAACAAAGAAAAAAAGGAAGATGCAAATAAGCACAATCAGAAAGAACAAAGGTGACAGTACAACTGACCCCGAAGAAATATAAAAAGTCCCCAGAGACTATTATGAACACCTCTATGCACACAAACTAAAAAACATAGAAGAAATGGATAAATTCCTGGAAACACACAACCACCCAAGGTTGAACTAGGAAAAATTGAAACCCTGAACAGACCAATAAGGAGTTCTGAAATTGAATTTTAATTTAAAAAACCTACTAACCAAAAACAGCCCTGTACTACATGGATTCACAGCTGAATTTTACCAGACAAAGAAGAGCTAGTACCAATCCTACTGCAATTATTCTGGAAAACTGAGGAGGAAAGACTCCTCCCTAACTCATTTTATGAAACCAGCATCATTCTAATACCACAACCCAGCAGCGAGATGATGAAAAAAGAACACTTCAGGCCGATATTCCTGATGAACACAGACACAAAAATACTCAACAAAATACTAGAAAACAAAACCTAGCAGCACATCAAAAAGTTAATTTACTGGGCCAGGCGCGGTGGCTCACACCTGTAATCCCAGCACTTTGGGAGGCCGAGGCGGGTGGATCACGAGGTCAAGAGATCGAGACCATCCTGGTCAACATGGTGAAACCCTGTGTCTACTAAAAATACAAAAAATTAGCTGGGCATGGTGGCGCGTGCCTGTAATCCCAGCTATTCAGGAGGCTGAGGCAGGAGAATTGCCTGAACCCAGGAGGCG